TGATTGATCATAGGGAGATTCGATCTGACCTATTCCATATAGGTTAACTTCATCGAGCAGGGCTTTGACATACAATCTCAGATTGATCAAATATTCTAGAAGGATGTCAATCAAATCTTAAATTCTTAATTCAAAAAATACGTAATCTTTCTTGTGTCTCAATCACTAGATGACCAATCCCAGGGGGGATTTGATCATACCTCTTCCACACAGGTTAACATCATCGAGCAGTGCTTTGGCATAAATCCTCGGATATGTCACACATCCTTGGTGAATTCTCTCGATCTCTTCTATATAGGTTAACGTCATCAAGAAATGTTCTAACATATAACCTCGGATAGGTCACACATCCTTAATGGATTCTATCAACCTCTTCCATATAGGTTAACATCATCGAGTAACGCTCTGACATACAATCTCGAATTTGTCACACATCTTTAGTGGATTCTTTCGACCTCTTTCATATATATTAACATCATCAAACAACGCTCTGACATATAACATCGGATAGGTCATACATCATTAGTGGATTCTCTCGATCTCTTCCATATAGGTTAACATCATTGAGCTACGCTCTAACACAATCTCGGATAGTTCATATATCTTTGGAAGATTCTAGTAACCTCCACTCTTTTATCCATCATTGAACTTCAGCCCATCGTTAGACTCTCATCAAACTTATACCCAATGCTGATTTTATACCTGTCGTCAGTCTTTTACCCGTTGATGGACTTTAGCCCATCATTGAACTTCTACCTGTCACCAAACTCTCATCGAACTTCTACCCAATATTGATTTTCTACCCATCATCATACTTCTACCTGTCGTTAGACTTCTACCCCTCGTTAGACTTTAGCTCTTCATTGAACTTCTTCCTGTCGCCAAACTCTCGTTGGATTTATACCCGATGCTCCTACCCGTCTTCAAATTACTACCCGTCACTGGACTTTCATTGAAATTCTACCTGACCTCAAATTTCTACCCATCATCAAACTACTACTCATCACCGTACTCTCGTCAGACTTCTACCCAATGCCAAATTTTTACCTGTCACCGGACTTCTTCCTGATATTAGACTTTTGTCCATTGTTAGACTTCTGCTGACTGACATCATATCTCTGTAGAATATCTCAAATAAGGAGGAGGAAACTCCTACTCAGTCAGGGGCCCTAGACCAACACAGGGGTTACCACCTGAACAAGAATAGGGGAATGCCGCAGCAAGAGATATAGAAGAAGGAGGAGGAAACTCCTACTCAGTGAGGGGCCCTAGACTTGGACAGGGGACACCACATGAACAGGACTAGGGGAATGCTTCAACGTGAGGGAGAGAAGAAGAAAAGGGACGAATTTCCTTCTTTTAGAGAGGGGTCCTGAGCTTGAATAGAGGATATCGCCTGTGTATGACCATGGGAAGGCCTCAAATGAAATACAAAAAAGACGGGAGGTGTAAATTTTAATACCCAAGGAGGGGTATTTATAGGAGTAAGGGGAAAGTTTGAGAAGTTGGATGAGTTATGAAAAAAAAACCCACAATTAGCCAACCACAGACGGATAGCCGAAATGTCGGCTAACTACAACCGACTAGCGTAACACGCAGCCCCAAGCACACATAGACCATGTTCAGATGAGGGTCAGGAGCGGGCCAGCCGCGTAACGGGCGGACCGGGGCTCGGGTTAGATGGGCTGTAGGCACGAGCCAGCGGGCCGGCGAGTCTGGAGCGCAGGTATGCAACCGTCACTAGCGGTGGTGGTAGCGACGGCCAGCCGGCCAGCCCATTTGCATTCATGATACCCAATTTTTTGGGTCTAGGTAGGTAAAATTGGATGTTTTTGGGGTCTCTGAGATCATTTTTTGACGTTTTAGACTCAATTTTGGCACTTGAAAGCTATTTGGGACCTCTACACCAATGATTAGAGTATTTCAAAATTTTGAATCGCACAAAAAATTTCTCATGAGCTATAATGAATATTTTTGAACTTATAGAGCCTCGACTTCCAAAAATAGGGGGGCACTAATATGTTTTCAAAAAAACTATCTTGATCTAACACGAATATCAAGGAAAAACTAAGCTGGAAACTTTCAAAATAAAATTGGGACAATCCTAACATTGATTTGAATAAACTTATTGTCAAACTAAATGTCTCAACGACACCGAATTTGACTCAATCCAAGCCAAAATGGGTCCAAATAAAGGACCCGAAGCACTATTAGAAGGTTTGAACCTTAATTTGGATTACCAAATGATTTTCAAATGTGACATGCTTATAGTCGAATCGAGCGGCTAACGAGGTGAATCCAACGAGCCTAAGATCATAGAATTCTAACATCATTAAGACATTCAAATGTTTAACAAACAATCTGTAATTAAGGGATTCAATATCAGCCGTCCATCCAAACCACACCCCATTTACCCTTGATATTTCTCCTATTTCATGAGCCATGCAATTCTAGGAAATCTATAAAATTACCCCTCATTCCTCTTGAAAAGGGGCCCTATAAGTATAAGGAGAAAAGAGAGAGAGATCAGAAATCACTCTTGCCTCCTTTCCTCCTTAACCATCGTCTGGAGTTTCGCCGGACCACTACCTGAGGCCCTGAGTTCTGTCGAATCAACACTTGAGGCCCCATACTTTCGCCGAACCACCACTTGGGGCCTAGATTTCTGCCAGACCACCACCTAAGGCCCGAAGTTCATTTGGACTACCACTTGAGGCCCAGACTTCTGTCGAACCATCACCTAAGGTCCGGACTTCTGCCTGACCACCACCTAAGGCACGAAGTTTTATCGGACCACCACCTAATGCCCGGAGTTCTACTGAACTACCACTTGACGCGTGAAAATCTAACGGCCATCACTTGACGCCCGGAGTTCCGCCTGACCACCATCTGATGCCGGACATCCGCGGACCACCGCCCGATGCTGAAGTTCTGCCATACCACCGCCAGGCTACCAACTGATGCCCATATTTTCAAGTAGCACCGAACATCGATATGCCAATCCACTAAGTGATGCTGGACTTTCATCCCTGTTTGTTGCAAGATTTCAACAATATGGTTAGCATTTGTAATATGATCCTCCTCAAGAATGAGTCGGCCCATTGTAATCTACTCGAATTCTAGTGAAATTATTTTCAACTATGCCAGGCCCCGTGGTTTTTCTCATTTTCAGGGGTTTTCATGTAAAAAAATTTGTGTTATCTATGTTTGAGCTGAATATCCTTACAACACTAAGATGTAGGATTTTAACTCTATCACCGCATATACTCTAGCCCACAACAATATATATTATTTGAACTATGTTAGAATCATGATAGAAAAATTTATCAAATGAGGTCAAATTTTATTTGATCAGGATTTAAATAATATTTGAATATTAATCAAATTTTCATCCTATACATTCTCAACCTTCATCGAATGTTGTTTAAACCTTATTCAAATATTTTGTTTGCATCAAATTTGATTTTGATAGACTTAAAAATTCCTTGCAAAATCTAAGTTTCGTCACCCTTGATGGCAAATAAGCAATGAAGTTGTAACGGTAGCTCACTGGAGAAGGCATTAACAGGAATAGTGGTGTGCTAAGAAGAATGTATGTTTGTAAGACTTGCAGATTTAAGTTAAGGAGGATTTACATACATACCATTTTATATCGTAAGGACGCCGTGTGAGTCGTAAATCCCATAGTTAAATTTTTTAAATCCGCCGAACTATGGGATTTAGCAAATCTGAGATTTCCGACGAAAAGAACACTAAGGGGCTGTTTGGCAACCAGTAGGATTTAGTAAATCCTGAATTTAATAAATATTGGGCCTGTTAAATTCTAAAAACTATTTGGCAACTTAAGTGATAAATCCTGTTAAATCCTGCAAAATAGTTTGACAATGTAATACGGGATTTAAGGCTGATAATTAATTATAAAATTAAATATATTATGTTTTAGTTTTAATTTTCTTTTAAGATTAAATTATTAATTTCTATCTTGATTAACATCAATAAATTGTAATGATAAGTAATATCATTATAATCTTTTAACTAATAAGCATAGTTAAATTTTTATTAATTATTTTAAATTAGATTAATTAAGCTAAATATATTAAGTTTTAATTACTAATTATATAATTAAGTTAAATTAGATAATTAATTTATGCAATAATTATAATATTAGTTATTTAATTAATTTACTTAATTATTAATATTTAAAATTATTATAATTTTTTTTTAGGAATATAAATTATTATAATTAGGTTAACCCTTTAGAGACTTAGGGATCGTTTTTTATCTTTTTTTTTTTATAAATTTTGGGCTCTTAAATTCTGAATTGTGTTTGGTATGATAATTTTTAAATCCTGTTAAATTCAGAAAGATGTTTGGCAAAAGATAACAGGATTTAAAACGGTTGGAGATTTAAAATTGAATTAACTAATTATTTTGAAATAACTAATTATTTAAATAATATTCCTACTAATTATTTATTTAATAATTTAATTACTATTTTATTAGTTTTAATTATAAATTTTATTATTAATTATCTCATTTTTCACTTAAGAATTCTAATACTCATTAATTATTTAACTATTATTTATATTATTAATTATATGTTTAATAATGTATAAGATAATTACATTAATTTCTAATTACTAATTATATTACTAACTATTTTATTAAGTTAAATTAGACAATTAATTTATACACTAATTCTACTATTAATTATTTATTTAATTTACTTAGTTATTAATATTTTAAATTATATTAATTAAGCAAACGAATGAAAGCGCCTAGGTTTGCTTTTAATCTTCTCTTATTCGTCCATGTTGTTCGGCTTCCTTGCTTCGCAGGAGGTGTTGCGATTGCACGAGTCGCTTGTTGGCTCCTTCGTTGCTTCGCAGGAGGTGTTGAGATTGCACGAGTCGCTTCTTCGGCTCCTTCGTTGCTGTTCGACTTCGCTACTTCGTTGCTGTTCGACTTCGCTCCTTCGACGACGTTCCTTTCCCGTCGGATCGGACGTTACAACATTTTGATCTGAAGCAACGACGGGAGCTCCCTCTCGCTCGCTGTGAAGGTAACTTTCTCCCTTTCGCGCGGTTCTTCGGCCAAATCCCGTAAATCCGACTTCTAGCTGGATTAGGATTTACCGGGATTTAGCGGATCCGTAAATCGGGATTTACGGATTTGCCGGATTTACGTCGACGTTTTTTGCGTTTGGCTGGATTTACCGTAAATCCTGCTTAAAATCCCGGTATAAATCCGATACCAAACACCCCCTAAATCTGCGGATTTTACAGCGTCCATTTTTTCCGTTTGGCAGGATTTGGCGGCATAAATCCTACTTTAAACCCAATACCAAGCAGCCCCTTTATTTACAACACAAAGAGGCCATACAAGCTCTCTTTTTGGGAGTGAAAAAAGCGGTGGTCATGAACATGAATGGTGCCGGTGGTAATATCAGTGGAGAAGGCGACTACGATTCTGATGAAGGGGAGGTATTCATAGACGAGGACGATGTCATCCACGAGATCCCCATCGACGAAGAAGGTTTCGTCCATCTTACTATTTTACCCTTGCCTTTGGTCTTCTGATCATTTCGAACTCTCTTTTAACGTCGATCAGAGCTTCTTGACCGGGACGATGAGGAGATGGACTCTGATGTTGATTATGGTACGTTTCTTCTCGAGGTTATGGCGAGTAGATTTTTATTTTCAACATTTCATAAAGTTAGGTTTATTTAATATTTATTTTTGCAAATTTAAAATTAGTGTTATTTATTGCAAAGATTTTCCATATCATATATTTTTGTGCGACTGCATTCTTGTTGTTTTAATTTTATGTATGTGAAGAATCTGCTCCTTGCAACGCTTATTTCGAAGCAATACTTGATCTCTTGATTTCTACTCTTTAAAGTTCTCTCGAACATAATATTGCCTTAACATTTTTTTCAGGCTTGCACTTTCAAGCATTAGTTTTTTTTTTATTGAGCTTAGAATTCTTTGCAATTAAAACATCATGTGACATGTTATTTTAATTTCACATAATTAAAATGCCATTAGATGCTTTCCTCAACTTATTAGTACCTATTTTAGTCTCATTTTCTATCCCCTTTCCACTCATACACACACAAGTTTTTTTCACCATTATTTTCTTTATGGCAAGTTACATGATTACATGTAGAGTCTAGACTATCAAGTTTGAAGTACATGACAGTCAACTATTTTCCAAAATTCACCATTGATAACCTCAAGCTTTTGAAAAATTTATGATATGATTTAATTTTAAAACTTTATGGACTTAATAGTGAAATTTTTAGAAATATTAACGCGGTTGTTATGCACCCAGAAGATAAAGGACTAGATAATTTACCACTGTTTTTCTTAATCCTAGGATGGGGTGTGAGGATTGATAATTTGGACCATAGGAGAATCCAAGATTTGCATTATTTGAAATCTAGCTTGGTCCTAGGATGTGGCAAATCTGTTGCAAGGATTTTTGGTTTTAATCCCTCTTATTCCCCAATTGGATAAGAAGTTTCTTAAGCGTGATTTTCATTTACTTGATAACGTAATTTGCAAGAAATTATGTTGGTTAGACTAATATGTTCTCTATATTGTAGGATTATAATGTTATCTTCTAAAATACAGCCTTAATATTTATTAAATTAAGCATTAACATCTCAGGTACTTGTTGACTGCCTTTCAAAGAATATATTATGTATGACAATGTCTGATTAACTTTTATTGAATGCAAAATTTTATCATTGATTTCTTAATAATGAGTGATGTGCATTTAGTTCCTGCTTGCATTGACATACTTGTTTTCTTTATTATTGTAGAGGAGGCTGATGATTCTTTTTATGTCTTCAAGGGACATACAGGTAAGTGCCACTCAATTCCACAACTCTATTGTGAAAATGAATTGTTCGATCTCAACAATCAATGACTAACCAACAATGTCATTTTCTATCCAAATTTCATGAACCATCTGAGAGCTTAAACCATGAAATGCTTACAACTTCACCCTTTTATGCTAATGTGTGTATACTCTCTCATAAAATATTTCAAGACTTGATGAAGATCTCTATTTACTAATTCGTCAACACCTTCACATTTTGATATATTATTTTGTTTGTACGGAAGCGTCTTGGAAATACGGTCTTTTAAATTATCAACTACTGCATGTATTGGTTGTTTAACTGTCTCTGTTCCTTAGTCTATGTTCAGGATTATGTTTATGGACCTTGATTTAGCATTTTAGAACCATACTAATTACTTTGATGGTTTCTTTTTCAGTGAAAATAATCTGCATTCAATAATTTTTTTTTAATTTTCATTGTTTTTCTTAAATCTACTTTTCTGAGGTGGATATCTTGTGTAGAAAATAGTTGTAGGCTATGATAAAGACAATTTCTTGGGCAGGAGATAGCTAAGTATGAGTTTTAGAGCACCTCCATTAAGAGAGCCACCATTGCACTTAATGGGCATGACGCGTCTTGGATTTGGGTTGCATATTGCCAAATTTGAATGTCATATTGGAAGTTTGGAGTTCATAGAGGACAGTTGTTGTTGGAGGAAAGAAAGTACATGCCAAGGCGCTCATTCTTGGGATAATTACAATTTGGGAATTTGGGGATTGCGACGACCGATTGATGAGGCTGGTTATACAGAAATCACACTCAATATTATCTTTTTCCCATAGCAGAGGTGCATCCATATGTTTAAATTCAAAAATGTTTTGAAAAATTTTTCCTAGATTGGTTAGATATAGATGGATTTTTTGCATGATTTTATTGAATTTTGGCATGTCAACTTCTACTACATGAGGTTTTGGCTCAGTTGACCAAATTGCCATGGATTGAAATTGAAGTCATCATGTAAACAATTATAATATTTTGTTGGCTATCCAAGAAATAGATGTTTGTCATGTTAGGTTTGAGCTCATATCCTTATATTGCGAATTCCCCTAAATTTTGTGCTTGTTGTTGAACTGTAGAAACTACCAATGCTATAGTTTGCATGAGAAAAGTAATATATAGAGTACGAAGTTTAATTCATAGCTCAGCCAATTTAAATATCTTAGTTTATGTGACTTATCTAAGATTTTTTTAAGAACATACTTTTATTGAAAAAGGAGAAATTTTATGCCTTAGATAAACTTTTCTTGTAAACTGAATTTGTTATGAATTAAACCAAGTATTCTATACAATATTTTTCTTGAGAAAAATATTGTATATAATACTTGGTATAATTCATAACAAATTCAGTTTAAACCTCTTAATTTATGTGACATTTCCACTCTTTTATTTTGAACTTACATGTATTGAAAAACAAAAAAAGTTTTGTATAAACTTTTATTTTCCTAAGTTCCATTTTCAATTAAATTTAGAAAATTGCCATGTATTCATCTTATGAATTCTTCATGTGTAGGTAGATCATTCTTGACGATCTCATGGACTGCATGATACAATCGTTACTAATTAATATTATGTTTTTTTTGCATATATTGGTGTCATTTTTTATTTACAATTATACTGAATTATTTTTAAAGCAATATGCTTTTTAACATATATAAGTATTTAAATATCATTTTAAAATAAACTGAAATTCAAAACAAGAAATAAAAGACAGCTTTTTCTGAAGGTCCAAAATTGAGGTCCAAACTAATATTTTGAACCTTTGTTGTTGAAGTTATTAGATAAGCTCTTTTTATTTGTGCTGCAAAATACTATTCAATGCACTTCTAAACATCTCTTGTCATTATTATTGACTCAATTGAGAAGAGAGACTAGTGAAAAAGCATTAAATCTTAAACATTTACTTAAAGCACATTACTGTATTCATTCTCAAAGATTGAAGGAAAAGGGTGGTGATTTATTGACTTGCATTGCATGCTATAATAGGATTCTTTTTCTATATTTTTGTAGCCTACTTCAAGAGGTTGCGAAAGCATGCATTGCTTAGAGTATTTACGAGTAGTTCATGTTATGCGTATATTAAAAAAAAGAGGAGTGTTTTTCATGCCTTTTTTTAACCTCCAATAATTCACATCAATATGATGATATGTAGTGACCAGAGGTGTAAATGAATCGAGCCCTAGCTCAAACTCAACTTTTGGCAATAATGGCGAGCTCATGAGCTAGTTCGTGAGGTTGAGCCAAAGAAGATATTGCCACGAGAGCCATTGAAGAAGCCATCAATATGATCAACGGCCCCTAAAGAAGAAAAAGTCATCATGAAAGCTCATTGAAGAATTCAACTATGTAACTAGTGATGGAAGAGAAGTTGTTGAGCAAATTGAGCTCCCTAGAGAAGGCTTTAATGCGGCTCACAACTTTCCTAAGTGCCCATAGTCCTATTAATAACTACCATGAAGGATTGTACTTTCAGGCTTGCTCATTAATGAAAAAGGTTAAAACAAACTTCCTTTTTAAGATTCCAACTCTACTTAAAAGACCCCTATTCCCTTTCTTCTTCTCAATCGAGCAGCTATCTCATTAACCAACAATAGTTGTAGGAGTCGTTAGAGCTTATTGGAAAGGGCATCAATGCGACCAATTGTTGGATCTACGAGCCAACTCGTGAGTCGAGCCTTGTCAAGTTCAAACATGAATCTGTTTAATATAGGAGCTTGAGTTCAAGCTCCAACTCAAGCTTGCGGCTCAAGAAGCTTGCCTTGTGAGCTTGTTAGCAAGTCGAGTTTGTGCTGTCTCGGCTCACTTATATCCCTAAATTATGACCATGATGTTTGTCTAAATAAGTGACTTTGGTAAATGATTTAAGCAACCAAAATGGTTCTTGATTAAAGAAAAAAAAGATCACCTTAGAAAACACTTCTATTTATCAAGGTGCTTTGGCTTACTAAAGTGCTATTTGGTGTGTTGTATTGGCATATCAAAAAAAGTTTTGACCTACCAAATCTTTGTGCATCCACATATCCATGGACAAACATAACATACTTATATGGGTTGAAGAATATCATCCAGAAAATTATACCTATAATTATGATTGAGATGAACAAGTTAAAAGTAAAATTTATAAAAACGTGAATGTTATAAGAAGATAATATGAGTGATCATAAATTGGGTAAATTGAAAACTTGATCTTAAATAAAACATCATCGAAAAAAAAAATTTATATTGGACTATATTTGGGGTAAAGGAAATAAACAGGTCCCCAATTAATATATTTGTTAAAAATATGTCTATCTATGATTCAATATATAAAAATTTAAATGATAAACCTATAATATAAAGTTAATTAATTTTTTTGCATTGATGAGTTTATTTAAGGTACCATAATATATTTGATATCTTTTATTAACTCAAATTTGTACTTTATTAGAATTAAAATCCTCACCCAATTCTTCAAGATTAAATGACTTCGCTAGGATTTAAAATGACGCAGCTCATTTGGTACGTTTTGTACAAAGCTAGGAGAGCATAAATAAAGTAATGCACAACTGTTTACTATTATCAATAATCTGTGTTACATAATTTTCTATGCATATAAATCTTGATAAATATTTTAAATAAATAAAAATATAACAATTTGAGAAGGCTTCAATATTTAATAAACTCTCCTTGGAAATTAAGTTCTCATTTACAATTTTTGAAGTGATAAATTTCAAAATCTTTTCATGATGGACAATCTCATCATTCCCATTTCCCCCTATAGAGTTAATAAATTTGAAATAGGTTTCTAATTCAAAGGATATTTAGTTTTGTTTCTTTTTTCTCTCATTATGATTATATAGATATATGGATAAACAAATATGTGTGTGTTATGCAGTTAAATGTAGCGTGAGAGAAAGAGTGGGTGATATGCTTGGTCAAAATTTTCTGACTTGTGAGAGAATGACATGAGTCATTACAGTGTAGTTGTTGGCTTTTTTCCACAAAATTTAAGCAGAAAAATCTAAATGCATCAGTGTGTGTATGTGTGTATGTGTGTGATGTATTTTGTTAGCTTTGTTGATATATTATATAGATATATAATTAGTTGATGCTATCTCTCATGTTGAACTTGTCTTAATCTAACTATGCTTCACTATTGCTTTGTCTTCAACTCTTTTCCCTGAATGATAATAAATTTTGTTTTACTTTAATATATAAATATATATAAAGTGTTAGAAGTTGGTGCCGTCAGGAAGTACATTTCTCTGCTTTGGATCTGATAATTATCTTTTATAATACTTCTTTCTTTAAGCGAACACTGTTTTCTTTAAGCGAACACTGTGAATTCCTTTCACTGTGGACTTAATTTGTTGTCTAATTATTCCATATGTTGGCATAATTTATAATAGAAATGTTAACTATTCTTTCAAATAGTAATGCTAATTAAAAAATTGAAATGAGTTGGTTACATTATAATTATTTTGGCTTTGTTGCATGGCTAGGAAATTAAGCAACGTTTTCTTTTGTAGATAGATTATTGGTGTGTTATGATTTACATATTATGAACATAAATTGCATTGTAGATTGTTGTTTCATTCGTTATTTGCTTGCCCTTTACTTTTACCTTACGTTGCAGATTGCACAAATCAAATTAAGCATCAATGCCATCAAACCTTATGCAATCTTCATGAAAATATAAACTATTGACCACTTACAGTTTTCTAGAAGCATTATCATCATATCAGCCTTATCTTCTATTAGAAGGCAATGTTGCCCCAATGAATCACTATATAACTCGATCTAATTTATAATTGTCATCATATCATTTTTATTTCTATTCAATGTTCTCCCTAATGAATCATTTGATAACTCTTGCTCTAAATCATCATAATAGCATTTTTATCCTTCAATGTGAGATCAGTTCTTCCCTAAATGAATCATCAAAATCCTTCATAAGCATTACTTTCTTCAAATCCTCAAAAACTGAATTAAGTGATTGCTTCTTAGTGATATTAAACATTAAACAATCTCCTTGAAAGATTACAATGACTCACTGTTGTCCCAAATTGTTGTATTCACCCATCTATTTGAGGCCAATCTTATCCCAAATTAATCATTTATTAACTTGTTCCAGATGATCATGGTCATTATATCAATACTTTCCTATGAGTTTGTAATAAATGTGATCCCAAATGAGACATTCAATAATTTGCACTCCAAATCATCATGATGGCATTCTATTTCATCCATTTGAGGTCAATCATTCCCCAAATGAATCTTATAAATCCTTAACAAGTAGTGCCTTCTCTAAATCCTACCATGCAATTTTGCTCCTGATAGATACAAGATGCAAGTACCTTAGAATATTTTAGCAAGAATATATGCGGAATTGTTTAATTTGAGCGTTGAACATTTCTTTTATTTTGGCATCCTGATTAAAACTCCAAATATCCTACTCTTTTTACTACTATAAATTATTGGTAGGTGCATCTTCAAATTCATATCAAACAATGAATAATTGATGTTGTGTGAGTTATCCTTTTCTATTCTATGTACAGGTATGTACGGTAATTGTACTCATGAGTTCTAGTACAAATTTCTGCTCTAACTTCAAGTTGGTGCAGATGAACTCTATTCCGTTGCATGCAGTCCGACAGATGCATCCTTGGTTGCTACAGGTGGTAAAGATGATAGAGGATTTATGTGGAAGGTTGGCTCACAAGATTCTGGTTTAGAACTTCAAGGTTTGTTAACTTAATTACAACTTTAAGTAACTGTGGTAAATATGCTTAGTGTATGAATTATATTAGGGATATTTGTATAAATTATAAAACTCCTTGTAGTTTGGTCTTTTATTAATACGGACATTAGTTCTTAAACTTTGCAAAAAAGGATAGCAGTTTACTCTATTTTATAAAATACTTCAATTAACCTTGTCTCATGCCCGGGTTTTTTTAGTAGTACTAAGATTTACAACTTTGACCATTCTATTAGAGTTTTTCATGACACTTCAATAATTTTATGCAAGATTTTCATAATAAACTCTAGTAGTACTATGAGGGGTTTTCATAACAGACTCTATTAAGTCAATGTTATACTGTTGTCCTTGTTTGTAAAGTTTTGAAACTGTTGCCCTTCTCTTATAAAAATACCGAACTTTTAATGATTTTAGTACAAATAGCCTATTATATAGCTCTTAAAAGAAAAAGTTCTTATTGTATTTTTCATTTTTTTTTTTTGTGTTGATTTTACATTAGTTAAGTCTTGTATTCCTTTGAAAAATCCACAGGAGGTTCATAATTGAGATCAATATATAAGGAAGCAAAGATACTGCCCTAGCAAAGCGAAACATATGCTTCACTATGTCTTCACTCTATAATTTGTAAGCTTAATAAAATTATATTTAGTCACATTTTTTAAGCATATATAATAAGGCTTATGATTGTGCAAAATATATGTAATTTGAGAATATATTGAACTTTATTATTTAATGGACTTAGAGAAAAAAAGATAATTATATAAAGTGAATTGGAAACTCATTTGACATAGTTTGTAAGGGCCTTCACACATACATCATATATGTATTAATGGATGAAAGCTAGGATATATTACCTTCGTTAAAAAATTGCTTTAAGATTTACAAAATATCTTTTAATAAAAAAGGAATGTTGATTTAAGTTTCTTTTAACTGTAGTAAACATTATTGTGATGTCAACTAGATTATAAGTGTCAGATGGCTAAACATTATGCTTTGAAAAATTATAATACAAAAAGAAGTAAAACATTGATTGAAATGATGTTTTTTTTTTTAAGTTAACTATATTCAAAGTGCTAATGACTAGCTTTGATGCTAGTATTTAAAACACTAGTTGAATCATGGATTCATGGGTTTTTTAATCCCAATATCGATTATGCTAGTTGATTTGGATTTTTGAGTCCCTATTTAATTTTTTTTGGGTCCATTATTAGTTGTTACATGGGTGCTTGAATTGCTTCATTTGAAAATTTAAGTTTATTCCAATTGAAAAGGTGTAGAATGGATTGGAGGGATTGCTTGTGACCCTTTAATGCAAGTTTTTATTTTCGTTGGCCCGTTTGCCATGAGTTTGTGTACATTTTGAGGGAATTAACATACTATTTTTGTAGGACCTAAACTAAATTTCTTTGGTCGTCCACCTATGCATGTTTGGTACCACAGGATTTTGTAAGAAGAAGCTTGGTTGGTGGTCAAAACCAATTGTTTGATAAAGATAGGCCCTATTCCAGGTTGAGCTGAGCTTTAAGATTTGAAGATCCATGAATATGTTTGGTTGGTTAACAGGACTAAGAAAAATAAGTTTACAAGCTAATCTTCTATTATAATTAGTTTTTTATATTATATCTTTAAATCTTACTTGTTTGTTATATGATAGGGTGACAATGGTTGAGTTTTTTGAACCATACTACTTTTCATCATGATAGAATTTAGTTATGCTATGGCCCACTTAAATAAAACCTTCTTTACTTTTTTTCTTTTCCAATAGATCTTGTTCTTATAGCTATCAAAAGAAAAATATAAACCATTCAACTTCATCTCTATTGGTGAAACTTTGCGTGAACAAAATTCTATAGAATTTCATAATTTTATGGTTGTAAGTCCGAGCTTTTTCAAAATATTCATTAAAGAATAGCCCTAAGAGCAACTCTAATTATAAGATACCAAATTTCTTGTTTTCGATTGCATATGACACACAATTCTAATGATTTTTTTGCAATGCTTACATTTATTTAGAATGAAATCAGCTATTTTCAATTTCATATCATAATTCATCAATATGTTTTTTGGGCATTATTATTTTTATATCTTTAATTTATTTCCCAATCCAAATGCTTACTAAATCACCCGAATTAGTAAACATGTAATCTTTTATCATTAAATTTTATAGATTAAGATAAAAAATGTTGACTTTATGTTTTAGAGGCAGCATAGTTATTAAAATCCAATGGAAGGGGATTTTACATTTCCCATACTTCATTGGCTCACACATGCAGTTTTGCTTAGCTTGGCTATCCGCGCAGTTTACAATACTTGCTGCGGTGCTCATCGAAGTACTTTGTCAAATGAATCCCAAGTTTGTTAGCGTGGTTAATGAATCTTCACAAAGTTTTTGTAAATTAATTACATGGAGGTTGATAATATATACCTTCCTATATGATGGCTGCAATGACACATGCATGACAGCCTCACCATATGAAGCTTACATTTGTTAGTTGCTAATGTATCTTAATATACATATATTGTTGTAAATTACACATAGGTTGGTATTAAGCATATTCTGGTTTGATTAACAGGTTGAGTTTTATCATGATGAAAAGGATAATTTCTAGTCTTTCATTAGGTTCTGTTAACAAAAGTATTGTTTTTCTCATTTTCCATTTTCAACGAGTTTTCATTTAGTGTGATATCTGCCCATTGTAATTTCATTGCCCTTCTGAAGGTCATCGAAACACAGTTTCTACATTGTCCTTCAGTTCTGATGGGCAATTTCTTGCAACCGGAAGTTTTGATGGACTGATCCAAGTATGGGATGCAAATTTAGGCAAGATCAAGTGTACACTTGAAGGCTCGGGTGGGGGTATTGAGGTGACCTCACGAAACCTTTTGTAGGACTGTGGATGCTTACGCATGGCTTTTGTTGATTCTTAACAATTTTCTTCTATCAAACAGTAATTTATTTGTTTAGAGTATTTTCTCCATTGAACTGCGCAGTGGCTGAAATGGCATCCTAAAGGACATTTGATACTCGCTGGATCAGAGGATTCTAGTGTTTGCTTGTGGAACGCTGATAAAAGTATCTCTCTTAACACCTTTTATGGTCATGCTAGCAGTGTCACTTGTGGTGATTTCTCTCCTGATGGTACTTCCAGTTGTTTCTCATTTATTACGGTATCCTATACTACATATTTCCATTCTTTTTTCCATCAATTAATTACATTTTTGTTGCTTTTTGAAGGAAAAATTATATGTACTGGTTCTGATGATGCCTCTTTGAGGATATGGAATCCTAAAACTGGAGAGAGCATCAATGTTAGAGGTAGAGTGCACATTGCTTACCTGCTTGGAAATCTGTTTCATTAGTTTTCTGCAGTAAGTGCAATGACTTTATTTTCTATTAACGCGACAAGAAATATGCATAATATATTTGTTTTTCTCGGTTAAGAATTGTAAAGTGTTGGTCACCATTTTTGCATGTTCATCCTAATATAGTTTTCTATCTTATGCCCCTCAATACAAACCACTAGGAAATGAATATGCTTGGTGCTGGTGCCTAAGGAAAAGTTATTTATTTGATTGATATGTTTGATAGGTGCACAACACTACAATTCTTGCAGTTGCATAATGCGATGCTGCTATGAATGGATCTAGAGTGAAGGTTTCAAGTATTATGTACTTCTGTACATTCCTCTTCAAGTTAGGTGATTTTTTTTCCCTAGGAAATCTAACATTTCATACACCTGAAGAACAGGGTATTTCTTGTATTACAGGGTAAATTTGAAGAGGAGGAAATGTTAGAATTTTTTTTTTCTTTTTTACTGAGATTCAAACTTTAATCCTCCAATTTGCTATTCAAAGGCAGTACTAATCAAAGTGAGTAATGGGAATATAAGATTTTATGAGCTTGATCGAGAAGCTTCTTTTAGTCCATGATACTAGAATATGGATAAGAACTTAGAATCTATGTTTCCTTACCGGCAAATTAATAAAATTAATAGATATTATGATTCATAAGAAGATAAATATTCTATGCATTAAGGATACTAAATGAGTTAAATGAGTTGGAGAGAATACTAAGAAGATTTATAATTTAGGATTTAAACTGTGGTATTCTGGTAGGAGTCGTTCTAAAAATGGTGTAGATGTGATTATAGAAAAGTTTGAAGGCTAATGTTGGAAAAATTAATAGAATTTGAGATATAATTATAGCTTTAAAGATTATTGTTAATATTAAGATTATTAATATTATAAGTGTTTTTGCTTCTTAAGTAGATTTGAATATGTATTTAAAATTTAAATTTTGGTTAGAAGAATTAATACAAAAGATTTCTCTTGAAGAAAAAAATTTTATTAGAGGAGATTTAAATAGACATGCTGGTATAGAGAGATGTATTATTTTGAAAGCATTCATAGTGGCTGTGAGTTTGGAGGACTAATGAAGGTGGTAAGGCCATATTAGATTTTGCTATGGCTTATAATTTTGTATGCTATTCCATTATTTAAGAAAAAGGATGAACATCTCATCAATTATAAGAATGGATATAATAAAACTCAGATTGATTATTTTTTTATATGAAAAATGAATTATTTAGATTGCAAAAATTGTGAAGTTATTCTGCGTGAAAGTTTATATACCCAACAACAACAAGACTTTATCCTACTACGTGGGGTTGACTACATGAATCATTTTTCTCTATTGTGTCCTGTTAAGAGTCAAATTTTCTCATTTAAATCTAATAAAAAAGGTCATTTCTAATATTTTCTATCCAAGTCTTTTTAGGTCTACCTCTACCTTTCTTAACATTGGTCAAATCTAATACATATACTCTCTTAACAGAATATTGGAAGGCCGCCGTTTTACATGACCAAACCATCTAAGATGACTCTCTATAATCTTATCTGTCATTGGAGCAACTCCAACCTTTTCATGGATATACTTGTTTTGTATCCTGTCTCTAAGAGTAAATCCTCTCATCCACATCTCAACAACACTTAACTTAATATTATGCTTCTCTTTTAATGACCAACATTCTGCACCATAAAGCATTACATGTCTCACCACCATCTTACAAAATTTTCCCTCAAGTTTGAGTAGTACTTTTCTATCACACAACAAACCTGAAGCATTCATCCACTTCAACCATCCAACTTGAATATTACTAATAATATCTCTATCTATTTCACCATCACTCTAAACAATTGATCAAATATATCTAAAACGAGTACACTTATTAATGACTTGATCACTCAAAGTCACAAACCCCCCACTAGATCTATTTCTACTAAAATTACACTCAATGTATTCGGTTTTAGATCTACTGAAACGAAAATCTTATACTCTAAAGTTGACCTCCATAATTCAAGTTTACCTTCTACTTCCTCTATAGTCTTATCAACAAGAAGAATATCATCAGCAAAAATCATACACCATGGTACATCCTCTTGCAAATGTCTAGTAAGAACATCCATGACTAAAGTAAAAAGATATGGGCGTAAGGTTGATCCTTAATGTAATCTAACTAAAATAGGAAAATATTTGGTTAAACCACCTTATGTTTGAACACAAGTAACAACTATTGCATACATATCCCTAATGACTTGAATATAAGCATTATTAACCTCTTTATTTTCTAGAACTTTCCATAGAACTTCTCTTGGAATTTTATCATATGTTTTCTCTAATTCTATAAATATCATATGTAGATACTTTTTATTTTTCTCTAAACTTCTCCATCAACCCTCTCAATAAATGAATAGCTTCTATAGTAGACCTACTCGGCATGAATCCAAATTGATTTTGAGAAATGTTAGTATCATGTCGTAACCTATGGTCCATAACTCTCTTCCAAAGTTTTAAAATATGACACCATCAACTTAGTTCCTCTATAATTCATACAATCTTTTGCATCACCTTTATTCTTAAAAATAGGAATCACCACACTCTTTCTTTACTCATCTAATATCTTTTAGTCTTCAAAGTAATATTAAAAAGTTTAGTGCGCCAATAAACTCCATCTCTTAAGCATTTACACACCTCTATTGGAATATCATTAGGTCCAATAGCTTTTCCTCACTTCATTTTCTTTAAAGCATCTCTAACTTCAGTTTTACTAATACTTCGATCAATAAAATAAAACTAACTTGCTATTGAAGCTATGATCCCCCTTAAAAAAAAAAAAATAAAGAGTCTCTTGTTCCAAAACAAAACTTGAAGAGTCATTTGTTCTTTAACAAATCAGTAGTTTTCATTGAATAAATCATTTTTCCCTTCTTCCTTTTAATCACTCGCAGCTCTCATTCTTCCTCAACTTTATATCTTTCCTAGAAGATTGAGAGTATGTGAAGAATAAGAAGAACATTCAAGAAGTCCTCTGAATCCTTTTTAGGTTTTAGCAAGAGTCATCTCTTGTCCCATTTTTTCGATAAATTTTGTCTATTTTCCTCTCTTGCTAAAGATTACTCAGAGGGAGAGAAGAGTTTGAATCAATTATTTTAAGAGGAAGAGACCGATGGATAGTTGGAGAGGCTATGATTTTGCTCGAGTAAACTCTTAAGAATTTTTAGGAGAGATAAAGGAGCTGGAGGAAGTGAGGGGGAGGGAGTGAAGTTTTAGGAGAGACTTTATCTTATGTAGAAATTCTATTATTGCTCATAGACCTTTTTTTGTATGTGCTGGGTCCGCTCTTAATAGTTTCTTATTATTATAGCCTTCGGCTTTTGTTATTTCTGAATCATTGTGGTTCGATCTTATTTTTTTTATCCTTGGATATTGTAATCCCTAGTTTTAGGTTTTGCTACCTCCTCTCACATTCTAACATCATTAAGGTGACCTTTGATTTATCATCTTGATATTGATGCGACATTGATTCTTTCTCTTAGGTTCCCTTGATTTATCTCCTTGTCAAATGCATATGAAAAATGTCATGATTATAATGTTATATAATTTGGTCATATAGTGGTGGAATCTTCTCCATCCAAAATTCTGCACCCTATTCTTATTATTTTTATGTTATGAGAATTTAAGAAATGGAATGTTCAGGAAGAGAGCAACAATCATTTGTATGGTATAAGCCCCTAGATTGGAAGTCATCTTCTTTAAGCACCATTAGTATGGGTAAGCCAACCTAAACTTTAAATCATGTGTGCAGTACAAACAGGGTAAAGTAAGTGGCTCTTTAGTGGCATGAATTTAGAATGTATGTATTTTAAGAATATAGGGTAAAATAAATGCCAATGTATTCCGATTACTCAGTTGTTTGTTTAGATGTAGAGTAATTTTAGAAAAATGATTTCTTTTATTAGGTTGGATGTACTAAATGCCTCAAATTTCAAAAAACATTCTGAATCATTGCCAATATTTTTGGGTCATGCCTAAGTTATGCGATTTACATTCAATAATTGGCTTCATATATTAATTATCAAATGAGGATGAAACATTGCCAATATTGTCTTATCATATTTTTTATTGCTACTCATAATTTTAATATTTACATCAAATGAGTCATGTTATCTCTGTTAACATATTTCATTTTCTGAATTTATAGGGCATCCTTATCATACTGATGGACTGACATGTTTATCAATAACTCATGATTCTACTATTGCTTTAACTGGATCAAAAGATAGCTCCGTTCATATGGTGAACTTGGCAACTGGCAGGGTTGGTTATTCTTCCTTACTTTTTTTTTTATTTCACAATAATTTGACACCCTACGCTGTTGCACTTTTTGAATATAATTTTTGATATAATTTGATCATGTCTGCACCAAATTAGTGTTTAGTATCTTGAAACATGCTTCTATAATGAAGTCCAACTTTTTCCTTGCAGGTGATCAGCTCTCTGGTTTCACATTCGGACTCTGTGGAATGCGTTGGAGTCTCTCCTAGGTAATTTTCTTTAATGTTTTTGACATCCATCTGATTTGTTGATTGCCAATTTGGTTGTTATCTTTTCAACTGAAAGGTAATTCTTAATTTTTTTGTGTAATATATATATTCTAAATATTTCTCATTAACAAAGATTGAGGTCAATATAAAATAGGCTGTTTCAAATTTTACTATTGAAAAATATAATGAAAATCCAATTCTTTTAACCACAGGTGAAACTCTTTAAAGACTATTGACCAAATGAGAATTTGGCATTGCTTAACCCCGTATTGAGATTTTTTTTTTCCCAATGAAGTGCATACAATTTAGCAGCCACAAAATATAAAATCCTTCCTATACAATGCATACAACATTATTTTGAAGCATTTATTATTCTATAAAAATTCATATTAGTGTCTATATAGCTGCTAAAATTCCTAAAATATCATACAATATAAAATGCCTAATGACAAATTAAATTTTATATATGTCAAAATGACCAGAATAATCAATAACAATATATCAAAAATTACTCTGGAAAAGGTTTCAAAATCTATATAGATCCGATTTTATATAAAATAGAACCAAACAAAATATTAAAATTCACACAAGCGAAAAAGAAAAAATAAATAAGAAGTTGGGTAATGATGGCTTATCTTGAGTTGAAAATTTTCTCAAATGACTTGATGGACGAAATAAGCTCTTAGACCTCCGAATCTTCAAATTCTTTCTCTACCCTATCTCTTTCTCTCCCTTTCTCTAAGAATGCTCACGGCCAAAGGGATTAAGAAATGCACTTTGGGAGGACTTTGGATAATATATATATATATATTTGAAATTGAGTAAATTTCATATAAACCATCTTATAACACAAAATCTAGGGCTTCATAAATTTTGAAAAAAAAAAGTCAATAAATAGCGCAGCTTATCAACATATTGGTGAAATTGTTGAAAAACGAAACCATGGCCCTAGAAAACCTGCTTGTGCAAAGATATGCTAAATTTTTTCAAAAAATAGATAAAAAAATACTTAAATACAAAATATGCTACAAAATACTGAAGATGATTTGTATATCAAGCATAAAACATGCCTAGAAAATTTAATTGATTGCACAAATGTATATTTCTTCATATTAAAATTCTCTCCAAATCAAAACCACAAAATTTGATGATTAAATCATACATAAAATCAACTCTAAAAATTCATAGACAATCAATAAACATAAAATAAACATGCAAGTCTTACTAGATCTAAATTTTGTTATGACAAGTTAAATTTAAATAGTGTAGAAGTGATCATTACACTTTCTATCCATCTTCTCTTGCATCCCCTCTCCAATTCACTCCCAACTCTCTCAATATAAAAAGGAGAATTTTCCTTTAAATCATATTGAAGAGTTCATGCAATTATCATTTGATTTTTAAACCCTCTTACATATTTTTTTGGTATGGTCGGTGTGACAAATGCTTGCCCAAGTGCTTTGAGTAATATCCATATGTGACTTTGTTGACATGGTGAAAGTTTCCCTTGGTTGCATTGCTTATATATGCCTTTCTTAATGTGATGTGAGAGCTTGACATTTTCTTTGGTACTCTTTGCAAGGGATAATACAAAAGCACTATCAAAATTTGTTTGAAAACTACCTAAAAAGATGAATAAAATATGGGATCACTTCTATTTAAAACTATTCGTAAATATATCCAATATATTTACTTATTCATTACTGGAAGAACACCCTATGGATCCTTAATAAAAAGCTCCTTATGGTACAAATACAAAACTATTCGTAAATATCTAACAACGCCAAAACCAATTGACTTTTAACTACTAGATAGTAAAGCAAATGACATCTAAATAGAAACTCGAATACACAAAGTATCTCATAAAGCATAAAGAAGTAAGACATGGGAACGTTGTAGGCTCTCTCTTTTTGACACATGTATATTTTAATGACTATAGTAGTTTTCTTTTATTTGTAATAAATATTCAAATGGTTTTGCAGTTCTCACTGGGCTGCTACTGGGAGTTTGGATCAGAAGCTAATTATCTGGGATCTCGAGCGTTCTTCTCCTCGATGCACTTGTGAACATGATGTCAGTAATGACTTTGTCAGCTGCATTTGCGTTTTACATATCTGCATGCTATTGCTTCCTTTTGTAAATATTACTTTATAAATATAAGATAATAATGCTAATTATTTTTTAACAGGATGGGGTAACATGCCTGTTGTGGCTCGGCATGTCTCGATACGTTGCCACTGGCTCCATAGATGGAAAGGTGCGGATTTGGGACAGTCTCTCAGGCAGATGTGTTCGTTCCTTACGCGGCCATGTCGATGTGGTTCAGTCATTGGCTGTAACTGCAGATCAAAGCTCTCTTGTTTCAGTTTCAAATGATGGCACTGCCAGGGTCTTTAGTATCTCTGAATTTAAGTGAATCAAAATTTTATTATGTACTGCTTAAACAATAAGCTTGTTAATTCAAATTCAGCTATATTGTATAAGCTTATTTATTTAATGAGTCAAATAAAAATATGATCACATTTCAATCATATTTTCGTTTTGGCCATGTGTTTTCAACTATTTTTATGTATTTATATATAGATTGTTTACAGTCTTATTCATATATAATTTAGTTCATTTGTGATCAACTGGCATTGCATTGATATCATGTGTTTCTAATGGGTTTCTGGCTGGTTCTATTTGTTTGATGATGCTTAGAAAGGGTTGTATCTGTCATTGAAATCAGTTATGTAACATGATGTTTTATTTTAATCAATACTGCTATTTAATTTCATGGTATATTAAATGAGACAGGACAATAATATTTCAATTGTCTCTTGATTATTTGTATATGATTATTTTAATATTGGAATATAATGTTACTTCAATTTGATTTCTTAATTATATAAAATTGATTCAAAATGATCTCTTATGAGATTAATTTGGATCAATTTTATAAAGTTGATTATTAAATTGTGATTAAATATATATCATAATTATAATATTAGGAATTATCTTGGATCAATTTTTATAGTCGATAGATTAAATCGATAAAATGTGATATTCTGAGATTAAAATGATAATATACAATTAATTTGGGGATTATTCTGAGATTTTTTAATATTTCAATTTATTCAGTTTACTTGTAGATTTTATTTATATAGATTGAGATCTATATATTTTTTGAATCAATTCTTTACCTCTCTGCATCTACTATATTGCACATTTCGCATGTCCAAAGTTTTTTATATCTTTGTAACTATTTAAATTTTAAAAAATTTCAGATCAAGGTGTTATGACTTGAGTTTGATTAAAATGAATTTTATGATTATTAAATTTATTTTAAAATGGTTGTAAATATTATTCAATATATTTTTATTTAAAATTTCTATATTTAATTAGGCAAGAATCCGTTTTTACATACTATGTTCATCTATCTTTCTTATCTATGAGTATATATAAATTAGGGAAAAAAATTATGTCAGGATATTATGGTGGAATTCATGTTTGTTATGGGCACCATTGTTAACTTTTGTAGTTATTTTTTGTCACTATGAAAAGGATGATAAAATTGACTTCATAGGCTTCTAATATAGCAAAAATTTGAGAAATACGACATTGCTTGTTTTCTTGGGGAAATATTCCCCCTTTTTTTTTTTTTTTAATTAAACTATTCAAGCTATAGATCGGGAACTACATATTTAAATTCCCCTTGAATGACTTCGATATAAGTTTAGAAGAGTATTTGATGAGAATTGGATCAAATGCTTTTCCAGCGTTATTCAATACATCTTCAAGAAGATTCTAGCATGGTTCAAATAGGTTTTGCTCGAACAATATTTGAATTTTATTCGAACATGATAGAAGAACTTTGAACAACGTTCAAGTAGGGCTCGAACATTGTTCAAAGATAATTCAAAGAACATTTAAGCTTGGTTGGAAGGTGGTTTGAATAGCATTTTATTATTGTAGTTTCAGCGGATTGTGTTCTAGTAGTTATAACAATATAACAATAGTTAGTACATCCTCTTGCAGATGTCTAGTAAGAACATCCATGACTAAAGCAAAAAGATATGGGCTTAAGGTTGATCCTTGATGTAATCCAACTAAAATAGGAAAATACTTGGTCAAACCACCTTATGTTCGAACACAAGTAACTACTCCATACATATCCCTAATGACTTGAATATAAGCATTATTAACCGCTTTCTTTTCTTGAACTTTCCATAGCACTTCTCCTGAAATTTTATCACATTTTTTCTCTAAATCAATAAATATCATATGTAGATACTTCTTATTTTCTCTAAACTTCTCCATCAACCCTCTCAATAAATGAATAGCTTCCATAGTAGAGTTACCCGGCATGAATCCAAATTGATTTTGAGAAACATTAGTATCACGTTGTAACCAATGGTCCATAACTCTCTCCCAAAGTTTTAAAGTATGACACCATCAACTTAATTCCTCTCTAATTCGCACAATCTTGTGCATCACCTTTATTGTTAAAACTAGGAATCAACACACTCATTCTCTACTCATATAGCTTCTTTTTAGTCTTCAAAATAATATTAAAAAGTTTAGTGTGCTAAGAAATTCCTTCATCTCCTAAGCATTTACACACCTTTATTGGAATATCATCATGTCCAACAGCTTTTCCACACTTCATTTTCTTTAAAGCTTCTCTGTGGGTTCTGAAAATTCGGCCCCAGTCTCCCCGCTGCCTTTGCTTTCTACTGTCGGACGAAGTTTTAACAGATTAAGTTCCGAGATAAATTTTAGGAAGGCATATTAGGATTGTAGATAAGACAACCCAAATATTTTGCCCTCATTTTGTGAGGATTTTATGGTCCGAGTTTTGGTTTCATATAGGCGCAAGCCCCTATAGTTAATTACCCCACCTGATAATGATAGAGAACTTTCGATTAAGGCTAGTCGTCAATCAAATATGTAGAAGTATATAATATCTAACATATAGTAGCATCATGGGCATTTGAAATTAAAATTTTGAAGATTTGATATTTAAAATAAAAAATTTCACCATCTTGCACTTATAGCGGATGGTGGGGGAATGAATGATGGACCCAATCAAGATCCCATGATCCCGTCGTCCCAGGTCATCATGGTCCCTAGTCTACTTAGTCAGAGGAGGTAGTTGACCCTACCTGATAGAAGAATCCCTGTAAGCAGCCATGGGTTGCGTCATCCAAGGGTACCTTATAGACTTGGGGTAGATGTTTGTCTAAGGGAACAAATTTGAATCCACCTTAGCTAATAGAGGGCTTTGTGCCTTGCCGATTATATCCTAATCATTCATTACTCAATAATTTGATGCCATTGGGGAGCATACAGGTGCTGACCTTGATCGTAATATAATGGTGTTATTTGATGACGAACCACCCGGTTCAGAGGGTATCGGTCATAATCATTTATTTGCGGTGTCATTTGAAGGTGAAATCGTATGTGTGGTGCCACTTGACGGCGAAACCATCTGTTAGAGGACACGTGCCACGTCCTTACTGCTGAAGACTGTTTGAGAATGAATCCTAGTGATATTCTCGACCATGCATTAGCTCTTTATGAGCTGAGATAATTTTTAGATTTATCCACCTTGACGAATTTTTGTGGAGGGTGAATGGGGTTTTTTTTTAAATACTAATGATTTAATTTTATTTTTAAATACCTAGAATTTGAAATTTTTGAAGTTTTGAAATTTTATGGGCGTTTGAGGGCATTTTGAATGTTTGATGGTCCCTTTCGGTTGAGATTTACATTCAATGTGACCATCATCGGGGTCTTTAGGGTATTCCATTCATGGCTTAAACCATGTTGACTCTGTCGAGGTGTCAACAGAGGATCAAGTTTTATAGGATTTATGTCTTTGGTGATGAACCATTCATTTATTAGGATTTGAATGCCTAATATGAAATACAAAACAAATATTTTGGTCATCTTCATGACTGAATATTTATTCAATAGTTTGAGCCGTGTTGACTTTTATTTACTCGTATAAGAGGACCGGGCTCGAACTCGGGTTTATTTGTTAACCCGTGCAGCATCACTAGATGTCACGTGTGTACCCATAACACGTTCGCTAGGGCCCATGCGGGTGTATGATTACATTTGTCCTTATGTGTACCTATGTGCATACATATTATAGTGCACGTGTAGGGTCATTTTAGGATGTTGCATACAATATGGAGGGGTGTCCAGCTGCATAGGTAACTATTGTTACTGATTAGGCGAAGTTTTATTTTGGGCTTTATTGATGCCTTATATCTGCTTGTACAAATATTGCAGGTCCGATGGCGTAGTGTCGTGCTTCGGCAGTCCATGGTTCTTTACTATCGGTTCCCTTCTTTTTCTTACAGGTGAATCGTAGTGTTGTCACCTGATTACCACGAGATACCTCATTGTTCTGATGTAGACTCCCCTTTTCTCATTCACCAGGAGGTCTTTTTAGGGCTTGTATAGGAATCAATAAGTAGCACTTCCATTATGCCATCATCATCATTTTCTGTTGTTGGCTTAAATAAAGAATCAATCATTTCAAACTTAGATGGTTGCATTCTTACTGATGCCCTATACTTAGAAATATGCGGCTGCTGCTTTGAAAATACTCCTTTTCAGGATCTACATTATTGTGGATCTCTACAAGATGTGGCCTCCATAGTTAAATAGTTGGTCTCTAAGATAAGTTGAGGTATCTGGGCGCTCTTATCATTCTTGACTTCTTCAATAAGAATAATAGTTTGGTCGCCATGGAGATATTGACGAAATTTACATTTTTCTTAGGACTTTGGAACACCAGAAAATTTAGTTCGAATTTTCTCAAGCATCTCTTCCCTTCTTACAGGAGATGTCCTTCCCATGGGAGGACTCTGTCTAAGAGATCGGTAGGTTCTTATACTTCTTGGTTGAATAGCATCTGTAGAAGCGACATTATAGCACAATGAGTGTGCATGTTATACTGCATTATAATGCCAAACTTTGAAGATCATTTGCACTTCCAAGGCCTATCGATATCGAAGATGTTTTCTCTCAGATAAAAGGCAAAAAAGAAACTTTGGAACACCAGGAAGTTTAGTTCGAATTTGCTCAAACATCTCTTCCACTTTTATAGAGGGTATCTTTCTTATGGGAAGAGTCTGTCCAAGAAATTAGCAGGTACTTGTATTCCTTGGTTGAACAACGTCGACAGAGATGGTACCGTACTAATCGTAGCACCATCAATATGTATGGAATATCGTGTTGCTGTGCCAAACTTTGAAGATCATTTGCACTTCTAATGCCTATAGATGTCAGAGATGTTTTCTCTCGGACAAAAGACAAAGAAAAAACTTTGAAACAGCAGAAAGTTTAGTTCGAATTTTCTCAAACATCTCTTCCACTTTTATAAAATGTATCTCTCTTATGAGAGGATTTTTATCCAAGAGGTCAACCGGTATTCATACTTACCATATGCCCTTATATGCATTTGTGTCCACAGGGGTTCTCCATGATCACAACATACCCGCTGTTGTTATCCACAAATGGATCGTGTTTATTTATGGGGACCGGACATATTCAATATGATCTCCTAGAGCTGTTCGTAGAAGAACCATTGTACCTGCATCATATCCACCTATCACCAATCTTAGGTGGTCTTGGT